GGTTATAGAAGTCTGATTTTTGCCTTACCTTCCGGTCTATTTCCATCTTCCATTACTTGCAAAGGAACTCCTTTTACTGCAGCTTCCTTAGAGTAATCCTTTAGGGATAGGTGTGAGGGGAAAACAAACATTAACAAGAATCAAGTATCAAGAAGAATTTATTTTTAAATTGTTTTATTTTTATATATATATATATATATATACACACACACACACACACACACACACACACTAGTTCAAAATACAAAAGAAATATAGTATGCAATTATAAATCAGTAAACTATGCCTCATTTTTTAATCAGCACCCAAAAGTTTCAGAAATAGACACGACTGCTGAACATGTGGGCATAAAGACCTCCACATTGGAGTAATACAAGCTGCTGTTCAGAGACCCTACTATCTGTACTCTCTAACCTAGAATAATATTGATTGAGATATTTTTCTGGACAGTAATGCATCTAGACTAAAAATAAGAAGTAATCTCAATATTAAGGTGTTTATTTTGCACATTGGTGGCCAAAGGATTTTAAACAAATAACTCATTAATAGTGATGTAAATTACATATGTGCTTATCTTAACATGTGCAAGCAGTCCCAATGAATTCATCATTACTACTCATGCACATCAAGTTAAGCATATACATAAGAGATTGCATGACTGGGGCCATATAATGGAATTTATTTCACTGAGATAAACCTTGAATAATCATGCTGTACTGGTTGGGTTGAGGAGCTAGAAATCCACCACCTTACCCTAAACTTTGATGTGGGTCAGCAGAACAGTACTCTACAGTAGTGGTTTTCAACCTTTATTCATTTGCGGACCCCTAAAAACTTTCAAATGGAGGCATGGGCCCCTTTAGAAATTTAAACTGTTGTACTCTTTAAGTCTTAGACTGAAAATTGACTGAACAATATTCAACTATAAATGTTGCATGTACATGGCACGGCATTTGACACAATGTGAGAAAGGGTGCTAAATGTGGGCTTCTATGGTAACGACAATACTTCTGGGTTTTGACCTGTAGGTGGAGGTATTCACATACTTTTGATTGATCAGAAAAATGGAATGCCTTTTCTGGGATCTGAAACTTTATTTTCATAGTCACATCTCGCAGACCCCTTAGATATAGTCTTCAGGCCCCCAGGGGTCTGCAGACCACAAGTTGAAAACCACTGCTCTACAGTCACTACTTCAGCCTATGAGTAGGGCTAATAGCTACTGGTCCTATTTGCCACTACTCAACTGTCAATGGATCCACTCCGAGGCATATAGAAACCCATTTGCAGTCCCTTCACACCACAGGAAACCGGAGAATTTTATCCTTATGCATGGCCATGTACAATGGATTTGCTAAAAACAGATCTCAACAAATACAGACTACAGAAAATATAGCAAATATAAAAGGAGAAACTAATTGAGCTAGAAAGGGTCACATCAAAATATTAAAGACATTTAAATAGATTATGAAGTAATGCCTATTTAAATCAACAATGGTAGGAAGCAAAAGAAACTATAATCGTAATATTAAAGGTCTCCAGGAAATCATATTGATTTGTGCTATTCAAGGAGCAGAAATTTCATAGGAAGAATTACACTATAATTTGAAAAAACAGTTGCTATAGGTGGAACATAAGAAAACGATGCATGCATACTCACTATATACTAGATAGGTTAAGAGAATATAAAGGCTCTGATCCTACAAAGACTTCTGCATGTGCATTGACTTCAATACTTCCAGTGCATAAAGTTAAGCACATGCAGAAGTCTTTGCAGGAACAGGGCTGAAGTCAGATAAGCCTCTGAGAGAGAGAAGTAGTTTGCTGCTCTACTAAAATTTGGATCATATATATAACTTTTTAAGATGGAAGTATGGCATATACTTCAGGATTGTAGGATCAGGGATAGAACAGTAACTCTTCTTACCTTCTGTGATAATAGCGTGGGTTCTAAATCATTTTCTATCGAAAGAAGATGTTCTGAACTTCTTTCAGCCAACATACTTCGGACAGCTAAAATGAAAGAGACTTTAGTGTAGTTATCATAGAACAATATCATAGAATATCAGGGTTGGAAGGGACCTCAGGAGGTCATCTAGTCCAATCCCCTGCTCAAAGCAGGACCAATCCCTAGACAGATTTTTGCCCCAAATCCCTAAATGGCCCCCTCAAGGATTGAATTTACAACCCCAGGTTTAGCAGGCCAATGTAGTTTATGCATCTGTGACAGGTATAACTAGTCTGTCCCAGATCTTAGTCATTTCTATATCTGTACCTTTAAAAATCTAAACTAAACAAAATGACCTTCATTGCACAAATGAGCTCAGTGTGTCAACTTGGAACTGGCATATTAATGAACAATGCCTGAGATGCAACATAAATCTGTTTGACACACAAGAGAAACTTGCTGAAAGTGAGAATCGCAAATGATGCAATGACAACTCTGGATCAAATTCAGTATGAAATCAACATATATTAATGGGGTAATGCATTCTGATGCCCTTTTACAAAGATAACATCTTGTAAAGTTGTGTGATCCTTTGATCAACAATGAAAACTTTATTTTCTAAGGAGATAAGAGGCACACTTTAGCCCAGTAAATTCATAGCACAGGATGTGTCAATTTTAGCTATTTTAAATGAACCCATTACTGTAGTTTCTAGGTGACAGGGAATAAGATATAGCTTTAGCTTCCAGACATTTAAGATACACTTGAAATGTAGGGAGAAACACTGTTAAAGGGATGTCATCAACTTAAAAAAAAATTAAATTTCTAACCTGAAAATGCTTTACTCACTATTGTAGCAAGCACCAAAAATTACCAGAACTTAAAGATTAGAGGAAATAATATATTATGTTCTTTCAGTTTATTTGTATATTTGTCAGTTTCACTGTTTCATCTGTATAAGTAGTTAATTGGGTTCAGCTGTTTGTGTGGGTCTTTCACAAAGCAACACCTCAGAAAAAAAATAAACTGTAAAAATCTCATTTTAATATTGTAATCACACTAATTACCAGGAAGAGTCAGGGGCAGCTGTTGTATCTGAAACTCTTTTTAAACAGTTTGGTTTTTTTTTAAACTGACTACCTTTCAAGTTAAATGTATCCCTCTAAACATGCAAACATTATGGAATCAAAACAGAGGGGTCACTGGAATTACCTTTTTTGAAATATCCATACAAAGCATGTAATATTTAACATATTTTCATGACTATTTTCTCTACTCTAAACTACCAATAAATATTTCTTTCTAATCTCAGTAGGTTTTGGTCATCATACATTGAGAAATCTATCAGTTCCGGCTCTCAGGGCAAATTAATCTGTCATTTTAAAGATAGAGATAGCTGTAAGTGCAGCTGTAAGTAAGGAAAAGGCCTGTGATCTTTCCTCCAGTACAGTGCTACAGAAGGACCTGCAATCCCCATGTAGGTACAAAGAGGGCTAAAACAATCAAAAGGTACAAGACTCAGAATATCCTTCTTTCTCATTCATCATAATGAATAGCCAATAGCAAATTTATCATCACAATGAATGTACTACACAGAATTTGGAGCAATATTTAAGGACTGTGTGAAGTCTGGGGACATTTTGTACAGAGTTAGAAAAACATTCTAAAATATTTTATACAAAACATGTTAAAAACAGAATAGTATTTCACAAAACTGGCTAAATGGCATGTGGTCAATTAGGAAACAAAAAAAAGCATAACCAATTCATATCGATCTTTACAGACAACTTTCCTAATATACATACTATATAAGTGAGATGCTGGAAAAAGTATATGGCTAGACAAATTACCCCACGGAAATCAGGTTTAATCACATACCCTGTGTAACGCTGCTGGAGGTAGTGACAGTTGATCTATTCGGCAGAGGTTTGTTTGCTAACAATGCTGGAGGAATATAGGATGTTTTGTTTTTATTCAAAGCTACATCATCTGCCTGGTAGGGAGAAGCCACTTCACGAAGCTTCTTTACTGAAATTTTAACTTTTTTTCTACTGCAGTCAGCAGCTGCTGTCCAAGTGCCAGTGGGTTTTTCTTTTGTGTGGAGGCTGGTGGAGCGGATAAGCACATCACCGGCAGTGAAGCTAGCCATAGAGTCCTGGCTGACACTAGAATTACTTTCCACCTCCATGAAGAGCTCACAATGCGGTTTTCAACACTCCCAACCAACCTATTAATGGGGTTTAATAACATTATTAACAAACTAAAAGGGACAGTTTATTAATGCTCATGAATTGATTCTAAACAGAGGCACCCACATTACAAAAACCTAGGATTAAAGAAATAAAAGCATGGGGGGTGGGGAGTGAGTGGGGTTTACAAGGTACAGTAGTCAGATTCCAGCAAATTATCCCTGGATCTAAGCCAACATAAACAACCAGTCACCGCTCTTCCCTCTCAGCCCTCATCGTCTTGCCATGGGAGGGGCAGGGACTATCTACCCTGAATAGTTCTAATGGGCCTAACGCCACAGGATTTCGGTACCAAGCAGGGCCCACCTCGCCAGCAACAGTGCTATAGGGAGGATAGGGTGAATTGGGATGCAGGACCCCCACCCGCAGGGCACAGGACGCAGGCTCCCTCCCCTGCCCCCCTGCAGGGCACAGGGTGCACGGCCCCATCCCCACCCCTCCGCACCCCCAGGAGTACAGCCCCCCCCAACCACCTTGGGCTGCAGGGTGCGCTCGGCCCGTTTTCCCCGGAAACTGCAGCACACCCTCATTCAACCCCTTCCTAGCAGCCACCGGAAATGCTAGTTACCATGGTAACAGCACCAGCTACACCCCACGACTCCCGCCGCTTTCAATCCAGCGGCGCCCGCCTGCCCAATCCTTTCCCGGGTAGCATCGCGCATGCGCTTGCTACTGCAGGCTTTCGGAAGCTCCGCATCAATACGCATGCGGAGGGGGGGAAGGATTCGGTCTTGCGCGCGAGACGCCGCATATCCAGGGCGCATGCGTAAATCCGCCTCCCACGGGAAGGCCATTCGCTAGCGCTGCGTGGTCCCCCTTCTTTACTGTCCGGGTGGAACAAATACGCGATACAACCAACAGCTCCCCGTTATATTGCTGTAATAGCCACTTATGGTTCAGCTCTGTACTCTGGGAGCATAGTGTTCCGGTACGGCTGTTCACGCCGTACTGTGGCCCGCCCCAAGTTCTTCCGGGACATGGGGGACACTTTACAATGCTACACCATACTGCTCCGCGGGCCAAGGTAAATCTATCAGCGGATCCCTATGTGCCGATTCGTCTCCACGAGGAGGGTGGGGGAAAATCGTGGCGAATTTGCGGGGCGGAAGGAGGAGCTGAGGCTGCCGGTTCCCCCACGTGTTGAGAGGCGCCGGGCGCAGAGCGGTGAGTCGGGGAATGGGCCTGGGTGTCAGGACTCCTGGGTTCCATCCCTGGCCCTGTTTGTGAGATTGGGGTGGGAGCCCGTGCCTCAGTTTCCCCTGTGTGGTGGGGCGGTGATGCTGCCCCCCTGCCGGGGGCCCGTGTCAAGGCAGGACATTCGGTCCTTGGGGAGGCTCAGGGCGCTGCCGGGCTCGCTCTCTATCGCCCCCTCCTCACGTGTTCTTGGCACCAGGTGATGGCTCGGGATCTCCACTGAGACTCCCCGGCAGTGACCTTCGTTCTCCTAATGTGGCTGCTGCAGCCCGGGTGTAAGGCTCATGGCTACTCGTGTCACCGGGGGAACAGACTGGCAGGCCAGGGGATCTGGCTCTAGCAGAAACTTTCAGAGAAGATTAGATTTTCTGCCTGAAAAGGGAGAAGCAACAAAGACTCCATAGAGACCACGAGAGATTTCACTGTTGATAGCATTTTTATGTGGCAGGTGCTATGGAGTGATCTAAAACTCTAAAATAGATTTAGCATTTTGAAGAATTGCTGTAAATGTAGTCAAGGTCATAGAGTTTAAGACCAGAAGGGACCACTCCATCATTTAGCCTGACCTCCTATATAGCATAGGCCACCAACAACACCCACACACTAAACTCAACAACCCAAATTAGACCAAAGAATTACGGCCCAGTGGAAACTAGACTATTACTTTCCAGAGGCTAAGGAGAGGAGGCATCGTGCTGCACCAGGGCTTTGAGGCCCCCACAGTAGCATGGAAATAAATGAGATATCCCAAGATAGGCGTAAAAGTGTAAAAGCTTTGTGATAATTTACTATCAAGCTCATGTACTCCAAGGCCAAAAGGGACCACTGTGATCATCTAGTCTGACCTCCTTTATAACTACAGCCCAAATAACTTCTCCAAAATACAGTAGTTATCTCATGGTTATTTACTTTTACAGTACATTTTAATAATTTCCTGAAAAATTCCGTATGTCATTCTGTATGTCAGGAGTGAGTGGGTGAGGGTCTGTGGCCTGCAATGTCAAGGAGATCAGCCTAACAGATGATCATGATGCTTCCTTCTGACCTTAAAGTCTATGAGTCTGTGTCTATGATAACATGTGTTTACTTTTAGGGAATTGGGTAAAAACAACCTAAGTAAAAAAAAATGAAGGAAAATGTTTTCTCTTACATTTGAGAAATTTGCTGTCTCCTTCCACTAAATAAAACATTCAGATTGTAATTCAAAGAGCTCATAGATTGGCTATTTTAGGAAGAATATATCAACCCTTAAATCTCTATAGCAATATACTATCTCAGATATTAAATCTCTACTTGACCAGGCCCTGCTATGGCTTCATACTGCTGCTCTCACTAATATCTAGCTCTTACATTGTGATTTTCATCCATAGATCTCAAAGCACAAAGGAGGTCAGAGTATTTTTGTCCTTGTTTTACAGACAGGGAAACAGGGATGTAAAATTATTTGCCCAAAACCACCCAGCAATGTAGTGGCAGAGCTAAAAATAGAACCCAGGTCTTCTGAGTCCAAGTCCTGTGCTTTATCCACTAAGCCATGATGGTTCTCAATACAATACTTTAAGTATGGATTTTCATAATTTGTATTATCAGTCCTCTTTTCATCTTCACAACGCTTATTTATAGTTATTATTTACAGTTATCGTTTAGGCACTACACAATTACAACTGTTTTTGTAACCAGTTTGCAACATACTTTCATGAGACTCATTTACAACAAACATGGAGGAGATGCATTCATGCAGCAGCTTTTTTCCACAATACAGCCATGTATCAATATAGGTTTTATGTCCATACCACACTACTTAACTGTTTATCCCTTCTGAAGAAATCTGGACATCTAGTGTATTAGCACTATAGTATCTGAGGGCATAAAAAAGATGTTACTAATATAATCAGCTCCAGGTAGGAAGCAAAAAAGTAATGTGTAAGATGTGTGCATTGATCGATACTTGTTACCCTACAACAGAAAGCATATTATTGCATTTGAAGGAGATGCAGAGTTCAGCAGGACCAAAAAATAGTCTGTCTGAAGAATGTAAATTATGAGGAAAAGTTAATCTGTTGGACTTATTCTTGATGCAAGAGAAGAGATTTCAAGGTGACCTGAGACAGGCTTCCCAAATTCATAAAAGGGATTAATATATTTGATATTCCCCTCGTAAGAGATTCAGAAACAAAAGGGTGCAGTTTCAAAACTAGGAGCAAATAGGGAATTCCAGGCAGAACAACTGCTTCACACAAAAGATAATAAATGTATGGAATAACTAATTGGGAATGGGATGGAAAAAAGGCCAAATTCACACTCCTTTCACCTGTCTGCAGAGACTTCATTGGCATTTTATCCACTTGCATCAGGCTGGAATTTGGCTCAGTGAACACAAAGGAGGGAAAGAAATCAATGCATTGTTGAAGGTGAAACCTGAAGGACACAGTGAAATATCAGGAAGAAGGGATTCAGATAAATCTGCCTTACCTGAAGCCTTTCCACCTAGGGCTGCGACCTCATAAGATCACCAGATAAGTGGGGTCAGGCCTGGTCAGTACTTTGATTGGAGACCACCCCAGGGAAAAAGCAGAGAAGCTGTTTCGTTTTTTAAAATGACATTGCGTATGCTCAGAATTTGTTCAGGATGTTTCTAATAGATCTCTAACGTTCAGCCTTACTAAGCCAAATTCAGCTCTGAACTTATTGAACTCAGTGGAAGAAAGGTCCATTAAGGAGCTTTGCATGCTTACTTCAGGGCTGAATCTGGCCCACTGACCTTGTGCACTGGATTCTAATTCATTATACATGCAGTGTCTGAGTATAATTTGTGAATTATTTAGAATAAAAATATTTTATACATGGTAACTACATTAAGAGCATGACAAAGGTTTGAAATAAAACAATACAAAGTAATTCAAAAGTACGGATGACATGTGCCCTGACTCTCAAGCACAAGAGGGAGCTCCAAAGCTGTTTCTTTGATGTGTTGGTTGGGCCTACTGTTGGAGGACCTAAAGTACACCAACACTTGACACAGAATTTCCTGGGTCTTGTGTTGTCACAGCCTTGGTTTAATTTTAGTGTGAATTACTCTCAGTTCTAGTGGTTTTCTGTGTAGTAGTACTTTGATTAGGTTAAATAAAAGCATTTCTGAAGCTCTACCTCCACGGATTAAGAACAAGTTCTTAAATTCAGCTCCAGCATGACAACTCTTAACTTCCCAGACTGTCCAATTTTAACACACTTCTGTGATTTGACTCTCTTCTTCTTTCCTGTCTTCCCCTCCATTAAAAATATATACACTTACAATGAACCCTCTCCACTCCTTGCAGTGGGCCAGTTACAGAAGTGTTACTGATGGACCTAAAGGTACTATGTGGTAGTTCCAGGGGTAATGTAAATTCAGGTAACAGTTGGAGCTTGCTCTAATGCTGGACCTTCATAACAAGCCATGATTATATAGTCTGTCAATAAAACTATTATTTGGCTTCATACAGAAGAATACACTAGGGGGTCCATCCAGCTCCCAGGGATTTCAAATTTCTAGATTAGGTAATGGCCACTGATGCTGATTATCTCGGTGAACAATTAGCCTCCTCATGACACTGTTAAGTTTCTGCACGTCACATATAATAGCTCACATCCATCAGCACTGCCGGGATTTTAGTCACACAGTCCCAGTCTGACAGTAATGAGAATCAAACGTTCCAGCCAAGTAAATTGCTCAGAACAGTTGTGCTCAGGAGCCTATTGCCTCCTGAAGGCCGTATATACAGCTGGGAAAATCGCATTCCCACGCTTGTGAAATTTTAGAGAAGTTCTGACAACTGTGGTGTTTGCTGCTGCTCCCATGCCATGGAAACAGAGAAATGATTGGCTCAGCTCTGACTGGGAAGCTTTAACCTAATCACTGTTTTTATAAAAAGAAAGCAGGTTTCTTAAAGCTATGATTACCTGGAGATCAGATGTTTCCATGGCAATGGGAGTGGCAGCCCGCAGAAGGGAACTTTAGAACATTTTTCAGTTTCTAAAGCAAAGCTGGAGAGGCTGGGAATGTCATGTGTACAGGCATTAGGATCTAACAGGCTCAAGGTCTGTTGTTACCTTTGGAAAGGGGGTCATGGGGGAAGGAAAGCTTTTACACTTAGTAAAAAACTTTAACTCTCAACTATTTTTGTTCTTACATTTAAAAAAACACTGAAAATGGCTTTTGATATATTGAAAATGTTAATTGCAACTCTAACATTTTAACAAGTGATATCCTAGGTATTTGCACATCGCTGCTGGTCCAGGGCACTGATGCTCTGTAGTCTAACCATATGCAGCCTTGTGTGTAGTTGTTTATATATTGGCTGTCTGCCTTCCCCTGAGGTGACTCATGTTTAAAAAACGCAGCACCTAATTTTGAAGGCATGTTTAGCCCAAAGCAGTCCTCTACCATCTTGAGGATGGACTAGTACAAGAATTACACCTGACACATTCTGAGTGCTTTGAGCTACCACTTAAGAAGTTTAGCCATTACTAATGCTTCAGACTGCTTCTAAAATTCAGGCAGAAATGGCTTAGTTTATCATTCTTCCTTTAGTCTCAAAGACCAGATGTATATATGGAGATATACTTATTTCCTAGAACTGGAAGGGACCTTGAAAGGTCATTGAGTCCAGTCCAGTCCCATCCCCTCCCTTCACTAGCAGGACCACGTACTGATTTTGCCCCAGGTCCCTAAATGGCCCCCTCAAGGATTGAACTCACAACCCTAGGTTTAGCAGGCCAATGCTCAAACCACTGAGCTATCCCTTCCCCCCCCCCCCCCAACCTAGAACCAGATAGGATATATAATGTAAACATACCTTAATATACCAGACAGTATATTCTGGAGATATAAGGCCAACTACGAATGACAGCCACTGAAGACGTGCAGTAGAGACATATTAATGTACTGCACACCATATGGAAGGCATAAAAGTAAGGGCAACAGATTTGTGCTTCAAAGACATTTACAGTCAGACAGTGCTGTTGTGTTAAATTCTAAAGGAAAGCTATTTCTCAAGTACAGCTGCAAAGGTTTTCTGGAACTTCAGTTTACTAAATCTCATTAAATTAGTGACAAAATGGCAGGACATCAGGTCTGATTAAATAAAAAAGATGAACAGAATATAAAATGTGAGGAAGTGGCAGTGCTGGGAGTTGAGGCCATTAGCTTTTTGCGTCCTGGTGGGGACACAGGACTTTTCTGTTTCTCGGTGGGATTTTAACACTCCCTGATAATGAGCTACCTTGGTTCTGACTTTACTAGGCTGTAGCTGGCTTCAAATAGATACCCTTTACCCTCCACCCCAGGCATGTGATTTTGATCAAGCTCAGTTTGGCTTTAACTCATTGTTAAGCAGCCAGTGTTTAGGTGATAAGCCACGTTAGACTTTTAGATTTGCACTCGTTAAACTTGGGCTCGGCTAGGCAGTTGCACTCATTCCTATCTGGTGCAGATTTCAGCATCTATCTGTATGTGCCATCTCCAGATTAGATTTTTTTTTAAGCACTTTGGATGCGTCCTTTACCTAATGATCAGATTTAAGCTAATGTAGAACACAGTCCACTTTCTTAGTGAAGTTTTAAATAGAGAACATATTACATTTGTACTAGCTTCTAATTTGTTTTCAGGTGCAGTTCAAGGTTCTAACCTATAGAGCCCTTTGGTTTGGTTTCTTGGTATCTGGGAGTGCTGCTTCTCCCATGCTCAACGCTGACAGCTGAGATCTATTCAGACACTTGAGCTAACAGTTCTCAGATTTGTATGTCAAGGGCCTGGGGTAGGATGTTCTCAGTGGAGAGCCTTTGACCCTGGAGTTCACTTTCCTTTTATTTCTTCCCACCACCACACCAGCCTTGATATGACTGATCCAGAGGCCTCATCTGCCATTAAAGTTTTGCCACTTGTGCTAATTTAAAGGGGCAAAACCCCTCTAGTGAAGATGCAACTGTACTAGGAACAAAAATAAGCTGTACCAGTAAAAAGAACGCCTAGTATAACTGCATCTCCATTAGGACTTTTACTGGCACAACTATGCTGGCAAAAAAATTCCCTCCCTTACCAACATAGTTGTGCTGGCAAAACTTCTAAGCATAGACCGGCTCAGAGTCTGTTGATCTTCAGGACATGCTGCAAGGTTCATCTGTTTACTTGAGCCCTGTCAGAAGAGATGTGAGTGGAGAGGATTTAGTGAGAGCTTTGTGTGTGTGATTTGCTTATAGCGTTACTGCATTTGATTTTTCAATTTTTAATATTACTTTCACCAAGGGGTAGCAGTGAGCCTCGGGCAATGTGTAAATTGAGGGAAGGAAGGCAACAGCTTTCAGTATACATAGATTCGTCAATTCCAAGACCAGAAGGGACCATTGTGTTATACAGGAAGACAGACTAGATGATCACAGGCCGTAGAACTTCCCTAAAATAATTCCAAGAGCATATTTAGAAAAACATCCAATCTTGATTTAAAAGTTGCCAGTGATGGAGAATCCCCCATGTCCCTTGGTGCACTGTTTGAATGGTTAATTACCCTCACTGTTGAAAATGTACACTGTTTTCCAGTCGCAATTCGTCTAGCTTCAACTTGCAGCCAGTGGATCGGGTTAGACCTTTCTCTGCAGGATTGAAGAGTCCATTGTCAAATATTTGTCTCCCGTGTAGGTATTTAGAGACTGATCAAATCACCTCTTAATCTTCTCTTAAAGTTAAATAGGTTGAGCTCCTTGAGTCCACTACAAGGCATGTTTACTAATCCTTTAATGATTCTTGTGGCTCCTCTGTGAACCCTCTCCAATTTACCAACATCCTTCTTGAATTGCAGACACCAGAACTATTCTCTCCTAGAAAGTCTCAAGACTTAACTTGTTTACCACACTGTATAACGAATGTCTTTGTCTTTGAAGATGCCTTCTTAAATTCTTTCTTCTTAGTCTCCATTGGTGTTCATACGTTCACTTTTCCTCACCTGTTTTTGATTTCCTTTTTAATGCTATTTTTATTTCTTCTTCATAATCCCTTATATTTAACTCACTAGATTCACTGGCACAAGTATTTGCAGTTTTACCCTTTTTCTAATGACTAAAACAATAGATGTTTTAAAAACATGAACTGGTTTCTAAGAAGTGGCGGGGGTGGAATTAATTTAATCAATTTAGAATACTATAGAGTGCTGTTTCTTTTATTCAAATGTTGCTGTAACTAAAAGGTAACTAGAGGTCTCTTCCCCACCCCACCCCACCCTACCCTACCCTACCCCACCCCAGTTTTACTTTGTGTATCTGACAGCTCTTTACTTGTAGCTAGTTTTGCTGTTTTCTCTATAATGTGTTTCACCTGTTTGGATCTTTCAAATAATAGAGAAGAGCAACATTAAAGAAATAGAAAAATGTAATTACAAAAACTGGCAGGGGGACTTGAAAAGGTGTGGTATCTGACCCTATGTTGGACATTTTTTTTTTAACTGACTAAATTTCAACTTGATAGCTTCCATTTAAATTAATACTGTCAATGAGAATCATGTCACTCGTTAAGTGAGGTTTTTACTCACGAAAGCTTATGCCCAAATAAATCTGTTAGTCTTTAAGGTGCCACCAGACTCCTTGTTGTTTTTGTAATAGGTAAGGAATTTGATTATTAAAACAAGACTCTTCCATTATAGCCATTGCAGGGGGCTGCTAAACCCCCCCCCCAAACCAACAAACTATTTCTATTGGACCTTTACAAATCATAGCATCATTTCTATTGGTTTTAGATTTTATAAAACTTTATTTTTATAAGATGTAAAATTTGAGCCAAATTTAACCAGAAGCTGTTCCTTTAAATCACATGTAAGCCTGTCCTTGTAGTATTTTGTTAAGTTCCCAGCATGATCTGCATCTAAGACACAGTAGCCACTTATTCTTGTTTCTTTGAAACCCCAGTTATGTCTGGCTACACTTACAGAAGGGGCAGAGTTTTATTCAGCCTTCGAATGTTATATTTCTTATATACGTGTTTTGGTGTGAATTATGACACAAATGGTATCTTAAAATTAGGTGGCTGATTGCAGACCAATAGAATATGGCTGGGCAAATATCAGAATCTGATCAGATCAAACAGGTAAGATGCTATTCTGTATTAATAAATGATGGTTTTGAGAAACTTGCATTACCTCAACACACTGAAGCTTAGCAATGGAGTTTTATGGAAACTGGTTTCAAGAGGTTTCAGCATTTTATCTTCAAAGTTATTAGCATGCATATATGAAATACAGCTTTTCCCCCCAGTTAGTTAGCAAGTAAAATGTTGTCTGAGTTGTAGCTTAACTTCTTTTATGAATTGGGAACAATATTAAGGTAGCCAAGATTTAATTATTTTGATCATCAGCAAATCAGCAGGCATGGAATAGTATCAGATCTAGGGGAACAGTAGTTGTCAGCATCAAATGATGTTATTGCATTGATACTAAATTACCTCTGGTGACTTGTCACTTTAAATGAGTAGTCTGTTCTGTTAATGTCACTGAATGGTACATTCAGCTATTGCAAGCTGTACATGGGAAAACTTTGAAAATGTCTTCTTTTCTTTTAATATTGCATGTCTGTTCAATTTGTTACAGTTCAAGGAGTTTCTTGGGACGTACAATAAACTTACAGAAACCTGTTTCCTGGATTGTGTGAAAGATTTCACTAGCAGGGAGGTTAAATCAGAAGAGGTATGCCCCTGTTGTGTGTTTTGGGTTTCTCTTTTGTGGAAATGCTGTATGATAATATTTGAATTTGATAAGCAGCTTTGAAAGTTTTGATCCGATCAAAAATGAGTTAAACTAACATACAAGAGGTTATAGCTCTTCGGTATGTATGCAGCCTGCAGGTGAGAAATGTTAACTGAAGGGACAATGACGTATTTGTGGTTCTGTTTCTGTGCAGTTGTCATTCTGATAGGATTCTTGCTCTTTCCTCTTAGCTCCTTTGCATGCAAACAACAGATCTCCCACACCACAGCTTTTGAAAAATTTTGATCCCTGAGGCCAGTAGTTGCAGGACTAAGTGCATGCCAGGCGCTTTACAGGACCTTGCACATCAGACCCTGGAAGGCAATATCTTCTTCCTTATTTTCTTCACATATATGCAGATAGCCTCCCTGTTTTTGGTGTTGGCATTGGCCTTCTAAGGCTGCAACAAGCAGCAGCAACATATTTTGTTCGGAGGCATTCCTAGAGCCTCTTACTCTATAAGAATGAGGAATTCTTTAGAGAAGGGAAAATTACCCACCTGAAATCTACTTCTCTGAAGAGAGACTCTCCTGGAATGCTCACTCACCCTCCCACTTTCCCTCAGAGTTCAGTATCATCCGCTTTGGAGGGTGTTTCCCATCTTGCACTGTTTGTGCATTTTTGGAGGCATTTTTAAATCATGAATCATTTTGAATTGTTTTAGCCATATGGGTGGTTCACCTCCTGTGCAATTAAAGGAACTGACTGAAATGTTTTGGTGGCAACATTTATAGCCTGCAGGAGTGATGTGACATTTAGTAGATGGTCAGACTTGTACTTTATCCTGCTACCACTCAGGGATAAAACTTCAGAACTCCCATTAAGCTGGTCTTGAGCTAAAGAGCTAAGATCCAAGAGTGAAAATCCTGATGGATCAGGTCTGTAGAGTCTTAAGATTTTTGGATATAAATAGCAACCTGTAGCTAGACATTTTTCTTTTGTACTCCATAAAGGGACCCCCATGCTGCAGAACATGAGCCAATCATTAACAGATGGGGATTAGGGAGAAACTTTCTTTATGGGCAGATTATTACATAATTGTCCATTACAGGGTTTCTTGCACCTTCTTGTGAAGCATCTGGCACTGGCCACTATTGGAAACAGGATACTGGATTAGATGGACCACTGGTCTGATCTGGTATGGCAATTCCTATGTTTCGATTCAAGTTTAGTTTCATATTAAATAAAAATCAAAAGCATCCAGGAATCTCCTGTGAGCAATGCCACAATTTTTTAAAATTCATCTTTGGTCACTTTTCTACATAGCAACCCCTGCTGCAAGTCTAGCCTTCCCAAGGCACCATCCCCTGAATATTACGTCCTCTGGGAGCAATGGGTTGGAACTGTTCCAGGCTCCCTCATTGTAGTTGTTTAGCTAGAGTTCACTGCTGCTCAACAGGTTTTACCAGGTAGCTGATGTCCAGACAACAACAGTTCAGACCTCCTTTCCCCATTTCTAAATTCTAAGCACAATCAAAACAACTCCTGGTTGATCGGTAATGATGCAAACTTGTCCTGTTCCCTTTGTTTCTAAGTTTTGTATGCTTTCACTGTAACTATCAGTTCATTTTTGATAATGACAGCTAATTTGGGAGCATCATATAATGCAGAGGTCGGCAACCTTCAGCATGTAACCCATTGGGGTAATCCGAAGGCGGGCCGTGAGACGCTTTGTTTACGTTGACCGTCAGCGGGCACAACCCCCCGCAGCTCCCAGTGGCCACGGTTCAACATTTCCGGCAAATGGGCGCTGTGGGAAGCGGTGGCCAGCATGCGCAACATTGGCCCAGGAATAGCTTTGGAAACCTGCTGTAGATTGGTAAAACCAATTTTGCAAAAATGATGCAATGCAGAACATGGAATGGGCATAGTACATGCCATCCAACAGAATGACAAGAATTATTACAGCAGCCCTAGGAAAAGTTCTCTGAGTACACACCACAAGTGGCAGATACAGTTAGTTGGAGGGATCCCACTGGAAGCCTAGAATGAATAGGGGATATAGTAGGCCACATTTGGCTGCCATGGGCAGAAGGTGGGTCACACAGAATTTAAAGAAATAGCGACTGATGTAATATTGGCCTTTGCCATAAGGTAAGAGACTATAGATTTTATTTCAGAGGATCGTAGGGATATGAGGGGGACATAATGACTTCTTCCATTTTTAAAAGGTTCTCTATGGTAGTTTTCCATTGGAATGAATGCCAAAAGAAAACTCAGCTTTTCATACTTTCCTTGAAAACTAAACTTGACATTTTTTCCCCATCAGAAACAGGCTAGGCAGTGAGCTTGGGGCTAAAGGCAGCATAAGCATAGGACACAAGAGTGTATTCACCTCGTCATATGCCATCATAAACTGTCTTCGGTCAGTTTTTTCCTTTAATCATTGTTGTGGTCCTTCTGTGTCTCCTTTTTCCTGTAGATGACGTGCTCAGAACACTGCTTACAGAAATATTTAAAAATGACGCAGAGGATATCCATGAGATTTCAGGAGTATCATATTCAGCAGAACGAAGCTCTAGCTGCCAAAGCAGGACTTCTTGGGCAACCTCGTTAAACAAAAGAGAATTCTATTCCAACCTTGCTTTAAAGCAATGCCAATGTTTGTTGGATTGCAAGTGGAGGTGTTCTGTTGTGGGTGTGTCCACCAGCTCACAACAGAGTTTCAGAGACCGTTTGGCACATGGAAACCATTGGGGAAACAATTATGGGCTATACCAGGAGTTGGTAATGGCCAGCTGGCGAACAGAGCCTATTTCTGAGGTCCTTTTTTACTGTGCAATGGAATAATGTTGATACAACCATTTCTAGAGGCCTGCAGACTGGTTATGCTGGTCACTACATTGGGGGCAGGGGAGGGAGAGGACCATTTTTTTCTTTCTTCCACTACGACTATTAATTTTAATGCAAAAAGTGCTGTACAGAAATATATACAAAAATGTCTTCAAAATGTTTTTATTTAATCAAAGTACAATAAATGGGAACTGTTCAGTTTTGTATGTATTTTCTTTCCAAACAAGGGTTTATAGGCTAGACGGCTAGAATCCTGCCTTAACATTGCTGCCATCTCTCATTCCTTCTCATCTTCCACACAGTCCTGCTCATTCAGTGCTGCTTGAAGTCGCTGACAAACAGATAAGAGTTAGTGACTAATTACCTCATCAGTTAGGGACACGTGACTAGTTATTTATTTTTATTCTCGGAAAGCCTTTGTTATCTCCTTCTCTCATCTTCTCGCCCATTCGAGAATGGCTAGAGCAAGTGCCTTCCCTAACCAGCAGTCTTCCCCTATGCTCCCCAGGGCTAATGGCTGTCATAGGATAATATGGTTATAAGGAATAGCCAAGAACAAATCATGCCAAACCAACCTAATTTCCCTTTTGACAAGATTACTGTACTGTGTCCAATTCTGGGTGTCACACTTCAGGGAAGATGTGGACAAATTGGACAGAGTCCAGAGGAGAGTAACAAAAATAATACAAGATTTAGAAAACCTGACTTATGACAAAAGGTTAAAAAAACTGGGCATGTTTAGTCTTTGAGAAAAGAAGACTGAGTGGGGACCTGATAAGTCTTCAAATATGTTAAGGGCTGTTATAAAGAGGATGGTGGTAGATTATTCTCCATATCTACTGAAGGGTAGGACAAGAAACAATTGGCTTAATCTGCAGCAAGGGAGATTTAGGTTAGATATTAGGAAAAACTTTCTAACTATAAGGGTAGTTAATCTCTGGAATAGGCTTCCAAGAGAAGTGGTTGAATTCCCATCATTAAAGATTTTTAAAAACAAGTTGGACAAACACCTGTCAGTGATGGTCTAGGTTTACTTGGTCCTGCCTCAGCAGATGGGGCTGGACTTAGTGACTTCTTGACTCCAGCCCTACATTTCTATGAATCTGTAGCACTTGCCTTTATGGTATGAGGGCAGACAGCGGCTATAAAAAAACTCATGCAAGTTGGCACAACTCCATTGATTTCAAAGAAGTTCTACCAGTTTATCCCAATGTTGAATTTGGCCTAAATTTTTTTTCCCTACATGAGTGGCACAGAAGCATGGTAATTAGCAACATTCACTCCCAGAACTACTTCTGCATACTTCCCCCACCGGAAACAAGTAATCCAAAGGTTACTCCTGATCTCACGTTTATTACACGATGTATGACTTATTCCTTCAATACTACTAGGCTACCCAGCATACGTCTCCTTTGAGGGAATGCCAGCAGAATATACGAGGTACTCACAAGATGACATCTTCTGCTGATAAGCGCTGAGATAAAACATGAGCATTTATGAAAATTAAATGTTGGTGTTTCCAAGGTAGTGGAAACAATGGTTCTTTGACAGCATTTTATTACAGTGAATGTAATTCTTGAATCTGATTGTTAATGCAGTAGTATGACAGTTTATTCCTATTTCATTATCGAATAGCCTTGTTCTGAACCGAGTACAGAATAAACATGGTCTGTGCTTTGTTCAGTTGCACACAACCAATATGATGTATTACTGTGAATAAGATCTGACTCAATTTTATTTTCACTTTAACTGATAAATAAAAGAGTATCTACTAAGCCAGTGCCTCTCAACCTTTCCAGACTACTTACGCCTGGGGGAATTCTGCGCTGCTACATGCATAATTAATGAGCCCCACAGATTTCTCATTTTTTGTGTGCAGAAAAAAAGCTTCTGTGAAAATGTTGCTGTAGTTCTGCTTTTTGCCCACCAGAGGGCGCTGTGGCAATAGACCAAAGCTGCAGCTCCCTGCCAGAGAGGGAAAAGAAAGCTGCCTTCTTCACAGCGCTTTTCTGGCCAGGTCAGGAGGCAGACAGTGTGGGGTGCTGTGGGTGTCAGACAGGGACTCATAAGGGCTAGTGGGGGAAGACAAATTGGGGCAGGGGCTGAATGGGAGTGGAGGCATGGCCATGGGGGGAGGGAGGTGCAGACACACATGGGGGGAGGGGGTGGGGAGAGGCAGGGGATGCAGAGCTACATGGGGACAGAGGGTGGCTGGGTGGGGGTACAGGGAGACATAGGGACAGGGGAGTGGCTAGGTGGAGGCACAGAGACACATGGATGGGGGAAGGAGTACAGAGAGACATAGGACGGGAACGGCTGCATGAGGACACAGACACACATTGGGACGGGCAGATGTGCCTGACTGAATAGGAGAGACTAGGGGTCAACCAGGGTCTGCATGGGGGAAGCTCCCTAACAATCCCTTCCCGCCCCCCTTAAAAACCTGTTCCATATTTTTCCCACCCATACCCAACAACCCTCCAAGTTCACACCCAGGCTCCTTCCCAGCAATTTACTTACCTCTCCCTCAGCTCCTCCATTACCCCTGAATCTCCCAAGCCTTTGCACTGCTTCTGAGGGGTGCGAAAAATCAGTTCTGTATTGTAGTTTAAATGAATTATTACTCAGAGTTCTGTATTAATATGCCTAGTAAGGAATCTATTTGTCAAAAAACATTTCCTGGATCTTTTTTGTCGTCTGTATTGTTACAGACATACTTGCTTAGAGGTAT